GGGGGGCGGCGTGTTTGTGGCGGCTGGAATTTGGGTTTTCAGACGGTAACGGTTTCGACGCGCAGGGGCTTTTTGTTTTGACAACGGTCACAATTTGTTTCAAGGGGCGTCTTTTTCTGTATAACGTGTCCTGGGTGGTCGTCAGAATCTTTTTCAATAGTCATTGTTGTTTGGGGACAGGTCAGGCTTCGATGAATTGGCAGGTTGATGCTTCGCAACTGGACAAATCTAGGCAGTGCAGGGTGGAACAATGTTTTGGGCCGGTGGCAGCATATAGCAGGCCTTCTGAGAATGAGATGTGTACAAACGGGGGCTTGTATTTTTTGGGAATGTGATGTGTATGAACCGGGGTTGTAAGCGGGTTTGGATGCAGGCAGGTTTGTATTTTCTGCCTCTCATCTCACGGCGAGCGCACCACAAAGTCAGCAACAGGCGGCCGAAGGCCGAGTTATTTATTTCTGGTCGATTTAGTCGAAAATCTGTTTTGCAAATAAAAAAAGAGCTTTCATGAACGGAGGCTTTTTAGCCAGGGCATTTTTTTTCCCCAATAGAAGATGCAATTTCTGTTTGCTCGTCATAATCTCTTTTGACATTACATGTCTTGGTCGTGTTTTTTTTCGTTCGTTGTTTGCACAGCCTTCCATGAACCTGGAATTGCCTTAATGTTTCATGGCTGCTGAGACGCACACAGAGAGAGAGAGAGAGAGAGAGAGAGAGAGAGAGAGAGAGAGAGAGAGAGAGAGAGAGAGAGAGAGAGAGAGAGAGAGAGGCATACCGTACGTGGCATGCACAGACATGGCACGGTAAGCGTGGCAACTGTCTGGCTTACTTTTAACATGCAAAATTGTAAGGACCTGCCAAAACACGGACTGAGAACACAGCTGATTTCTGAGTTTTGCCGCTAGAATGAATGCCTTGCTGCGATTCCCGCTTTCTGCTTAGTTTTCGAAGTCTGTGTGTGTGGGTGCTTGCTGGTCTCCATGCCTGTCTGAATGGATGCCGGCCTGAATGTGTGTGTGACCCACAAGGGCACTTGTTTGTTTGGGAGGCTCCGCAGGGCCGGTACTCACCTGTGGCCGTGACTATTAAGGGTTGCAGCGGGGAAAACGCTAAAGTGGCGGGAGTAGGCCCGCGGCACTTAGGGCAGCGGGGAAATAGGTAGGCTGGTACCATTCAAGTAGCGGTAGATGTGTCGGGGACTGGAAGGCGAGCAGAAGAAGACAAAAGTTGGCAGTTTTAGAGCCGCAGTAGCGGTAGAGCAGTCTGTGCGGATCATATCTGAGCCTGCAATGATGTTTCCCTCCGAAAGGGAGGATGTACCTGTTGCTTGGAGGCCGCGCGGCCTGGTCGTCACCGCCTAAGAGGCAAGTTGGCCGCTATATCTCCAGGAGCAAAGAGGTCCTCAATTTGCTGCATACAAGTTTGGGCGTCACGCTGCTGGAGCGCTGGAGGAGCAGCGCCAGTGTCCAGCGCTGTAGGGGAAGAGGAGCGCCCAGCTCCCCACCTTGGTTATGGTGGAGGAGCTCAGGCAAGAGGAGGAGGAAGAAGGGGACTGGGGGAGGGAAGCGCCACGGGTACTTACCTGGCTATGGTGGACGCCATCTTCATCACCTTGGTGGGTGCTGCATCTGGAAGGCCCCAGTTGGGGTAGAGCTGCATCAAGAAGCTTCGAGACAGAGTCAGGCATGTCGGCCTGAGAGGAAGAGGCCATAACTGCTTTGCGTTGTTTTTTGCTCATCAGGGCAAGGCCCTTAGTAGTCCGCCATAGCCTTGGCCTAGATGGGGAAGAAGGAGGGCGGCCATGGTTATGGTTGACCTCGTACGTTTCTGCCAGTAGAAGAGGGATTCGGACATTGATTCTGGTTCTATCATTGGTCGTTGCTGGTGTACATCTTTCTTTCTTCTCGTTCTTCTTCTTTCTTTTTCTTCTTCTTCTTCTTCTTCTTCTTCTTCTTCTTCTTCTTCTTCTTCTTCTTCTTCTTCTTTCCCTCTCTCTTCTCTCAATTTCATTCATTTCTTCTTTCAATTGGACGGCATTGTGCCTTCTCGTGAATTTGTATTTCGAAATTGGCCAGAATCGTAACAGCATCAAAACGAAATTCTGAATTCTCTACAGAGGCTGGATTAAAATATTTCATTTTAGGTGCYTTTTCCTCTGGGRTTTTCTTATTCGRTTGTTCTATGATTTATGGATTTACAGGAGTGACCAATTTTGAAGAATTAGCCAAAATTTTGACTGGTTATGAAATGACTTTTTTTGGGACTCAATCGAGTGGTATTTTCATGGGAATTTTATTTATTGCTGTAGGTTTTTTATGGAAAATAACTGCAGTTCCTTTTCATATGTGGGCACCTGATGTATACGAGGGTTCTCCTACTTTTGTCACAGCTTTCTTTTCTATAACACCTAAGATTGCTGTTCTTGCAAATATGTTACATGTGTTTCTTTTTAGTTTTTATGATCCAACATGGCAAACAATCTTCTTTTTTTGCAGTATTGCTTCCATGATATTAGGAGCATTAGCCGCAATGGCTCAAAACAAAGTCAAAAAACTTTTAGCTTATAGTTCTATTGGCCATGTAGGTTACCTTTTACGCATAAAGCCACATTGCATGGCAAAAATTGCATTGAGAGAAAGCATGATGCTTATGTGTGTGTGTGGGCTCCGCCACCTCCTCCCCACACCCCGCCCCTGCCCCTGCACATTTAAAGCATGAGTTCGAGCGGTGAATACCATACACAGCTTACTTTTAACATCCAGAATGGCATAACGTATATGATCATAGTTGTGCATTTGGCTAAAGACAGGCGAGAATGAAAAACAGCTAGAAGCATGGTTGATATATCAGCCCATGTTTTTTTGGGGGTTTGTTTTCACAACAGCGAAATTGCTATTATGTAACTTTGACAAGCAGCCAAATTGTGAAGCCACACGCACAGACACACACACACACGCACACACACACACACGCGCGCGCACGCACGCACGCACACATGCACGCACGCACGCACGCACACACGCACACACGCACGCACGCACGCATGCATGCATGCACACACACACACACACACACACACACACACACACACACACACACACACACACACACATTGTTCGGTTTGTTTTTGT